GTTGGCACTCTCCGATCCCCGTCTGCCACCACCGCTCTCGTACACTATCCACCACCGTTCCTCTCAGCCACCCCCGTCTGCCACCATCCCCTCTTCTATCCCCGTCCTCGTCACCACCCGCCCCTACCTCTTCCGTGCCCGTTGGCGATCTCTCTGCCCCACCCTTCGTGCAATACTCGTCCTAACCCCGTCCTCTCATCCACTCTCTACCTCTAACTCGTTCCTGGCCACCTCGCACCTCCTTCTATCCCCTCGTCGCCTCCTCGAGTACGCGCATGTGTCGTACTGCCCCACCCTCTTCCTATCCCATATGTCCTCTCATCCCCTCTCGTACACTCGTCCATCCTCCTCGGAACCTCGCCCATTACGCTGTAATGCCGCATCCGTCCTGCCCGCACATCCTCCTCTATCTACCCATCGTCCTACTTCCACCCGTCTCTCTCCACCCCTCGCCGCGTCTGCACCTCCCACCTCTCGCTTCTGTATCCCGTCCTCTCTCTCCCACGCACCCTCCCCGTGTTCTGCCCCCCACCGCTGCTCGTTCTTACTCGGCCCTCTGTCCTCCTCATCTCAGTTCGCTCCCCGTCCCTCTCTCTCGTCTGCCCCACCCCTCCGTTCTATCCGCCGTCCTCCTCCAACCACTAATGCATCCGTCTGCCCACCCTCCTTCTAATCGCCCTCGTCCCTCGTCAACACACCAACCTACTCCGCGTTGCTGCCCCACCTCGTGTCTAGTCCCGTCCTCTCACCAACCCGAACTCCCGCACCTCGTAGTGCACCACCATCAGTGCAGTTCTGCCGAAGATGCAATTAATGCCCCACCCATCTTCGATCTGCCCCGTCCAACATCTCACCACCGCCGTCTGCGCCACCCTCTATATCCCCGTCCTCTCCACCCTAGGTGCACTACACCACCCCCGTCTGCCCCACCCTCTTCTATCCCCGTCCTCTCACCACCCCCGTCTGCCCCACCCTCTTCTATCCCCGTCCTCTCACCACCCACCGCGATGCCCTAGCTCCACCTCTCAACCATACCGCCCCGTCTGCCCCACCCTCTTATGCTAATTCGCACCGCGTCCTCTCACCACCCCACAAGAGCATCCCGGTCTGCCCCCCCTCTCACCACCGGCCCCCAGTCTGCCCACCCTCTTCTATCCCCCCGTCCTCTCACCACAGCCGCGTTCTGGCCCCCAACCTCTTCTATCTCCCGTCCTCTCAACACCAGTGCCGCGTCTGCCCCACACCTCTTCTATCCTATCTCACACACCCCCGTCTGCCCCATCGCCCGCTCGCACACTCTTCTATCTGTGGATTGGTGGGGCACACCCGTCTCTCACCACCAGCACTCGTCCTGCCCCACCTCTTCCTAATCCCCTGTCGCCCCACCCCTCTTCTATCCCCATTCCTCATCGACACCTGCACCCGTCTGCCCCACCTACTCGTCTTAGCTACCCGT